TATTATTATTAATTCATCTCCAAACACTTTGCTTCCAAAACTCTCTGCCCTTCCTCAGCAAATGGCAGCTGCTATAATTCAATACAGGGAAATCGTCACAAGAATTCAATAAAATTCAATAAAATGCAATCTTAGTAAAAGATAAATGGAACTTTCCATCTTTGCCTCTGTGGGATAAACTAGTAGTGTGGGTAAAATCTGAGTGGTGGGGAAGAGAGCCCCAGAAAAATGCTTCCAAAACTCTCTGCCCTTCCTCAGCAAATGGCAGCTGCTATAATTCAATACAGGGAAATCGTCACAAGAATTCAATAAAATTCAATAAAATGCAATCTTAGTAAAAGATAAATGGAACTTTCCATCTTTGCCTCTGTGGGATAAACTAGTAGTGTGGGTAAAATCTGAGTGGTGGGGAAGAGAGCCCCAGAAAAAAGGAAGAGGAGAATTTTGTGGTCAAGAGCAGAACTACTCACTTGTACCAACACAACATGGATTTCATCCGCTACCACTGGTGGGAAAGCCACCTGCCATTTCCTCTTCCATGTCGGGGCAGGGAGACATTTACCTTTTCAGAAGGAGAAAAGATAGTTCAACTTCCAGGTTGGAATCGCTACCTGCCTGTCTCTGAGCTTCGAAATGACTCGGGAGCATCATGCCCCACAAGGATTATTAGAAATGTAGTCTTCTGTGCTCAGAAAAAAGTAGCTGTTCCATTAAATCAGCAGGAAAGGGAGCTCCTTAGAAGCACCATCACAAGTTGTGCAGGCAGGCAGGCAGGCAGGCCTATCAGCCTAAGTCCTCCCCTTTGCTAAAATAAGTTTCATATTGCTTGTGAAAAGCAGTAGCAAGAGAAATGCAATGAAACTATCAGTTTCTCTCTGTCTCTCTGTCTGTTTGTCAGACAGAGTCCCTAACAGTGTTCACAAGACCCCTTTGAGGTTTCCCAGGTATTCCACATGGATACTTACAAAATCCAGACTTTTAAAAAATGGAATATATCTTTGTCCTTCACGGGGGGAAACTGACAGTCCTGAAAATGGTTCTCACATCCACGACCCATGTCACAAAAGAGATGGTGACGGAGGGAAACGTCCCGTTTGGATTCATGCTATAAAAAAACCCAAGATTCTTGGCTCTGAATCAGCTCAGGCAAGCTTATGATAATATTAATTGGCTTTGGGCCAAAAGGCTTTTGGGGGGGGAAAGGAGGGAGGAGAGAAAGGGAAAAGAGGGAAATACTGTATTTCCTCTTTTTCTACTCCACAATAATTTTTAATTCTTCTTTTATTAATGTGCATGTGCAGGAAAGGTTTAATAACTGACAAAGGCTATCTGTCTTTTCCATTGATCAACCTCAATCAAGAACATGGTGGTTTTTAAAAGGCCAGATTCTACATCTAAACTGAAGACGTTGATTATTATTATTTTCTTTATCATTATTTCCAATCTTTCTCTCTCCCTACCCTTCTTTCCTGAAATATGAATTTTTACCCTCCATATTATATTAGCCAACAAGTCATTCAGCCACATTTATTCACCCTACTCAAGGATCTGATTAAGACATGGTGCCCAGAATCCTACTGGCAATTTGCCTGTGCAAAAATAAAATTGCCATTATTAAGGAAGGGCAGCGATGAAGTGTAATGATTTGTCACTGGAGACCAAGACCAAGATCATCCACACTCTTGTATTCCTGATTGCCATGTATGGATGTGAAAGCTGGACAGTAAAGAAAGCTGACAGAAGGAGGAAAAAAGATTCCTTTGAAATGTGGTCCTGGAAAAGAGGTTTGCGGATAGCCTGGACTGCCAGAAAGATAAACAGATTGATCCAAGATCAAATCAAGCCTGAATTATCTCAGTCCTGGAGGAGAGGTTTGCAGATAGCCTGGACTGCCAGAAAGATAAACACATTGATCTGAGATCAAATCAAGCCTGAACTATCTCTGGAGGCAAAAAAATTTTGAAACTGAAGGCAATTTTAGTGAAACAGACACTATGGCCGCACAAAGTTAGTTCAGGCTTAGGACCATCCTCAGTAATTTGTAACATCCATGAGCAGGGAGAAACTTAAATTCAACACAGTCTCAGATGGACTAGTGTCAGCTGAGCTGGTCCTCAGCCATCTTGGTTAGTTAGATCTATTTTCGTAGTACAGACTCTGGCATTGCATCTCCTCTACTAAAGGAGGTAAGAGGAAGTTGGAAAAGGTTCTATCGTTTCCTTTCAGCCCAAAATTATAATCCCCACCAGTTCCATTAGTGACAGATGAAACTTGGTCCACATTGAGCTTAAACATTCTTCCTCAGTAAGGAAGGCAAAATGTAATTCTTTTTTTAATTCTACATTTTATTGGCTAAAATTTAAGAACGAATAAAGAAACATAACAGCTAAGAAGGAAACACAATGGGACTCAAAATACAATAATGGGTTGGTGTGTGTGTGTTTTTTTTAAAGAAAAAAAGCAGCAGCAACAGGAGCTGGAAGAATGTCTATACACAAGTTTTTGTAAAAGGCTTCCAAATATCTAAAAATACATTTGTGTGTAGTTGTCATTTATATGCCATGCGTTCATATGTCGATAGCATTGAAAGGTCTTCTAGCCATTGAATTACAGGCAGCAGACCTTCATAAACATACTTAACAATATAAATGTGGAAAATGCAACAGTCCAGGAATGAAAGCAAGCTCATACTTGAAATGAAAGACTTCACAAAACTGAAGAAACAAAATTGGGAAGTTTCATCCATTGTTTCGAGTGTTGTGTTTTGTTTCTCTGGGTTTTACCCAGTTTTGATTTAAAACTCTTCATCCTCCTCCTCCCAGCTCTGACGGTGATGCAATATTTGCATTTGCAGGCTTTGTTTTGGCTTTGGTTTTTGATCCTCCTCCCAGCTCTGATGGTGATGCAACATTTGCATTTCAGTGACATTGCAGGCTTTGTTTTGGCTTTGGTTTTTGAATCCAGGCGAGCAGAGGTCCACAGCAATATTGTTGTGATGCAGTGCAGTGTCAACCTGGTTGCTTCTGGAGAACCTCAGCCGAGAGATCACACACACATACACACAATTCACCATTCTACTTGAAGCCAAAATGTAAGTAAGCTCACCACCCTCCCAGTTTGAAAAGTGCTCTCTCGCGCTCTTTCTGTCTTTCTCTCCCCCTGTAAAAAGTTGCAATTCCAGTGGTGGTTTGCGCAGCTCATTATATAGTGTGAGATCACAAATAGAAATTTTCACACTTGCCCATCTGCCACCAGCTGACTCTAAAGAACGGTGAATCATGTAATCAATAGAGAGTGGGTTTGTGAATATTTTCCTCCTTTTTGTGCTGCCGTGTCGGGAGGCTTCTTGAAACTGCGTATGAGCACCAGAAGAGGCTGAATGACAGGCCTGTATTGGCTACCCTAGACAGTAGACATAATGCTTCACATAAGAAGGTCATGAGGTCTAGGTCAGGGACCATGGTCTGCAGAGACAGAAAGCCAATTTCCCACCCTCCCATCCTTCCCGGGGTGTCTGGTGTAAACACTGATGAAAAGCCATTCAGGGGACCTCCCATACAAAAACATTGAGAAGATATATTAGCACTTAACAGAGAGAGTATCGCTCTCACTTTTTCTCTCCTTCCACCTAACACCCCCCCTTTGAATGCATGTATGCATATTATGCATGTATTTTACATGAGCTATTTGCAATTACAGCATCAGTGATGGTGTCATCTTTTTGTTCTGCTTCATATTAAAATGCTTTGGAAGAAGGATGCAGAAGGTCTTAGGTTTCCAGGAAGGAACATAATGAGGGTAATGCATGGCAGGAAAGCTCTCTGCAGTCTGCAAAACAGACATAAATAAAGACCTGCAGTATAATGGAACTCTAGGACACCATGAGGAAATTCATGATATTTTTGCCACTGGTGTTTGGTGATTTTGTGTGTGTGTGTGTGTGTTTGTAATTATCTTTCTCTCTGAATTTCATAATACAGCATAATGGAGCTGAATTCATAAAAGCGAACTTTTAATCTCTGTGGAAACAGTGGTTTCAGTTTTCAAATATTTCAAATTTTGGTGGTAAATTTTCAGTTTCAAGAAGCGTATCCTCTTGAAAATCTGAAAAAAACAGAATGGCTGGCTGGCTGGCAAGCAGGCAGGCAGGCAGATAAATTCGGCAAATTGTTATCCAGAATCTCCCAGCTCTGCAGTTCTAAGATGATGATGATGATTAAAATCACTTTTCCAAGCTTAGTGCTGATACTCTCCAGAGAAAGCCTCTTGTTTGCTCTGTGGTACTCTTATCACAAGATGCTTCTAATAAGTTGTTTAGTCCATTATAATGTTAAAAGATCGTTTCAATAATTTGAGATCTTGAAATTGGAGATTATACAAAAAAATGTCTCTGACAGATACAGCATGAACCTCACCTCATGATCTGAGAAAACCATATAGTTTACACATGATTGGTGATCTGTCCATGTGCCAAGTAAGTGCTTTACTACTGAGCTGATATCACACGTGCACCATTTTAAACATTCTCCTAATTGAACTGAAATGTAATAGGAGTGGGAGGGAAGTGAAAATTGAGCCCATGGAACAACAGGGGAAAGGAACAGGAAGCATACGTTCATTTGACACAGTCTTAAGAGTGTGCTGTGACTCAGTTAAGAGAGATCCTGATGGAACATAAGAGAGAACACTGTCCCCACAGTACAATCCTTACCATGTATTTTAGGGATTTTAATTCTCATGAAGCTGGCTAGATAGCTCAGTAGTTTACTTGAATTCTCATGAAGCTGGCTGAATAGCTCAGTGGTTTAGGTATCCGGCTGCAGAGTGAGAGGTGGGGAGGTCAAGTCCCTCCTGTGCCTCCTGTAAGACAAGTCAATATGTGCTGCCTTGGGCAAGGTGCACATATCCATGATTCCCCCCCAGAAGAAGAAAATGGTAAATCACTTCTGAATCTACCTGGAAAACCCTGGAATTAACAACATGCCATTATTATTCATTCTCATGAGTCCTATTCTTGCAAAAACTGCATTTTTTTCTCCTAGTGAGCTGTCTTCTTCTGTTCTTGACATTTCTCACATTTGTACAAATGACTTCTGCACAAATTTTGCCAGCTGCACAAAACTGTGATGCCTTGTTTCTGGGCTAAATGCTAAGTGTGGAAAATCCTGCTGATCTGGCTAATATCTGCAGCAAGATACTCCTTGCGCATGTGTTGCTATTGTGCACACAGCAGTCTCTACTGAGAAGGCCTCTGTGCTGCTTGTGTGTTGTCGTACTAGAGGATTCCTTGTACAAGCAGTGAAAATGATGGCCGGCTTCAGCTACAATCCATTGGGACAGCAATTTAACTCAACAGGATCCTGTTTGCTTTTTTAAAAAAGTCACTCTGCTAATCTTTAATGCGTGCATTGAAGGACTGCAGCACTCGATGTTGTGCAGCAGAGCAAATTGATATTCTGCAAGGTAATTCTAAATATGGGGGAATCCTAAACAAAAGATTTGGGGTTTCTATGATAATAACTTTGAAACTGAACTTCTAGGATGCCCATTTCCGTTCACTACCATTGACACTTGTTGAAAAACAGCTCTGACAATTGCTTTGTGTTTGGGTGAGAAGTGATTAATTGAAGAAAAAAGGAGTCATCTTCTGGGATATTTCTTTGTATGGTGTCACTTTGTGAATGGAAGTGGGCACAAGTTGTGGACCATCTAGACTGCTGCCACTGGTGTTGTCAATATTCATGCTGCCCTTTGCTGTGTAAATCTTGGTCTTTTTGCTACTGGTAATGTGGGCATTTTTGTCAAGAGAACAAGCTGGTCATCACAAACACTCTTTTCCAACAACACAAGAAGCGACTCTACACATGGAAATCACCAGATGGGCAATAGCGGAATCAGATTGATTATGTTTTCTGTAGCCAAAGATGGAAAAGCTGTGTACAGTCAGGAAACACAAGACCTGGAGCTGATGGAGGCTCTGATCATCAGTTTCTTATACCAAAATTCAAGCTTAAACTCAAGAAAGGAGGAAAAACCACTGAGCTAGTGAGGTCTGATCTAAACCAAATCCCTTATGAATACACAGTGGAAGTGAAGAACAGATTTAAGGAACTCAATTTGGTCGACAGAGTGCCTGAAGAACTATGGATGGAGGCTCATAACATTGTACAGGAGGCAGCAACAAAAATCATTCCAAAGAAAAGGAAATGCAAGAAAGCAAAGTGGCTGTCCAACGAGGCCTTACAAATAGCAGAGAAGAGAAAGGGAACAAAATACAGTACAAGGGAGATAGGGAAACAGATTTCCAAAGAATAGCAAGGAGAGACAAGAGGGCCTTCTTAAAC